TGATGACAGAAGGGGGTTGTTGATAATGAATCTACATTATGTAATGAAAATCACACATAACTTATTTAAGCATAATTGTATACAACACTGAATAAGTGATATAAGAGGGGTTTCTCATGCACATTTGAAATTCTTCCTTCCTAAGAAACTAGATAAATGTCTTTGCTTGTTGTGGGTAAGAAAATGTGTCTCTTTCTGACCCCTCTAGAATCCTCCTCTCTGCTGGGTACTACTGCTTGTGCCCCCACAGGAGTTCACATTGGGGTGTATCTTTCTTCTATATGTGACTTTGTTTATGATTTTCTAAAAGTGTACATTCTTAGTACCTTTACTAGTTCAAAATGGTTTTTTCCCCATTCATAAATTTTATGTTTTTATTCTTAGGAACAGTGAAAAAGTCTTAATATACTAGAAACAAGCAACACTGAGCAAAATTTTTTACTCTTTTTGAAATAGATCCTTATCCTTTATTAAACACTATTCAGAATGCACTTCAAACACCAGATTTTTACCAATAACTCTCCTCAAATGGCCACTCCTTCCAACATCCTCGGCAAAATGCTTGCTGCTGATCTTTCTGTCTGCTTGCCTAGGCTGCCCCTCTGTTCGAGAACTGGTGAATCTGGGGCTCCCTGTACTCTGGTCAGCGAGAGGAGGGCAATGTCGCTGTTTCTGTTTTGGTTTTTGCCTTTGTTTTCAAGAAGAGTCACTTCCAGGTTGAGTTGGGCCTGGTCAAACTCTTCAGCTTCCCTCCTGACTGCTGCCACCCCACCACCGTTCCTCTTAGCCAGCTCCCACTCACTGCCCTTCTGCCAAATGCCCACCTCCTGAGGGACCCTCTGCTGCCAGCCAAGGCCAGCCCACTCACGTGCTAGGCCGGCACAAACCCCGCGCCTTGGCCCACACCATCCTATACTGCTTACTCTCCCTGCCTGAGAGGTAGTGTAGCCAAATACAGAGCATGTGGGGCTTGGGAATCAGGAACTTGGGGATTTGACTCCTGACTCTTAACCCTGTAGGCTGTGTGATCTTAGGAAAGGCACTGAACTTCTCTGTACTTCAATTTCCTCAATTGTAAAATGGGAGTGATGAAAACAATAAACTCACAGGACTATTGAAAGAACCTGGGTCCAGCTGGTGTGGCTCAGTGGTTGAGCGTCGACCCATACACTAAGAGGTCGCCAGTTCAATTCCCAGTCAGAACACATGCCCAGGTTATGGGCCCGATCCCCAATGGGGACATGCAGGAGGTGGCCAATCAATGTTCTCTCTCATCAATGTTTCTGTCTCTCTCTCCCTCTCACTTACTGTCTCTCTAATATCAATAAAGGAAAAAAAATATTTTTAAATAAAGAACCTGATATACAGTGTCTGCCACACAGAGACATAATAATTTGTAACTATTCTTTTTATCCTCAACTGAGGACATGCTGAGAGAGAGAGAGAGAAAGAGAGAGAGAGAGAGAGAGAGAGATTGGTTGCCTCTGTAGATGCTTTGACCAGGAATTGAACCTGCCACCCAGGTGTGTGCCTTGACTGGGAATTGAACTGACAAACTTTCGGTGCAAAGGATGATGCTCAACCAACTTAGCCCCTCCAGCAGGGCTGTAACTACTCTTGATACTATTCCACAGCCAAACCTCTTAAATGAGGTGTTACTGGTCAAATCATATAAAATTTTAGGATTGTTTCAAATTTGGGAATTTGATCAAGTTTCATTCACACAGGAGCTCTGGAAGAGGGTCTGATTCTCCCGCTTCGTGGCCTTAGCGTCAGCCTCCCTCCACCGGGGGCATGTGATGAAGTGGGACATTTACACATGGCTGGAGGAGTGTGACTAATACAGTCCTTTCAGAGAGGGTCACACCCCCAAGGAGGGGACAGTCGGGACCTGCCATCTTTAAATACTTACTCAAGTATGAGAGCTTCCTCTGCCAGCCTCCTCCACTTAAGAACTGGCAATAGGAGGTGACCCAGCTGAGGCCAGGCAGCCAGCCAGCTAGCTGGTGGGCAGACATATTTTTAGGAAGGACATTCCAGGCATGTTGTCCCTCATACAGTGTGAGGAGGTTAAGAAATGTGTGGGATCTGTTTGGTTATTGCAGTGCCCGTGAGCTGAGGGGCTCCACTGACATTTAGTGGGCAGGGACCCCAGGTGCCATATAGCTTGCATTACTTGGGACAACCCCACCCAGTGAAGAATGGCCCCATCCAAAAATGCCAATAACACCGCTTCTGAGAACCATCTGGATGGCTCAGACCTCAACAAGTCATTAGTACTGTTTCCCATCCTGGTGAACTGGGCCGGAGCGTGGGGTGAGCTGTTGGGCTCCCTTTGCCCCTTTAGCCTGGAGTCTGGGTTACAACTGCAGATGTCTCACTCCACGCCTCCTTCCCTGCGTACCACATCACTGCCCACTTGGCTGCCAGCACAGAGGGGCAGAAGGCAAATGCATACTGTGTAATCAATAAAGCTTTGACTTCAGACCCCTACGTAGCACTCTTACTGGTAAACTGCCATTTGGCTTATGTCCAAAGAAAAGCCAACTCAAAGCAAAAATCATTCCAGTGAACGTTGGGTCTCCGCAGGGAACTAGAACCTACTAGGGCCATGGCCCAAAAAAGAATGCTGCTGATTTTACCCCAATGCTACTCCCATCCCCAAATATAGACAGCCTCTAAGTCTTATCTGAAGAACCCAAGAAAATAATTAATGATCAACACTTTCTGAGTGCTTGCTATGTGCTGGTACTGTGCCAAGTACTTTATATACATTATCTCACCTAATACCAAGTGACATAAAACATAGCACGTGAGAAAAAGGCAATGCCAATCCTGTTAATCCAGTCCCTCGGCCTCTGTGGGCAAGTCACTCTTGGACAAAGCTGTACTCTGGGCTGACTGCACTCCCAGAATCCCTCAGGTGTCTCAGCGGCTCATGGAGGCTAAATTCCTGAGTTGGGGGCCCACACGGGGAGGATTTATCTCTCATAGGCCTCCTGTCATTAACAGAGATAAACCCAGGTATTGTCATTACGGTAATGGCCTCTGTGACTAAGAGGAGTTAAGTAGAAAGTCAGCGAATGTCAAATATATTGAAAAATCACTTCACCATGAAGTCACCTTCTAATGTGTTTGGTGGAAACAATAACATCCATTTTCACTCCAGACACTACTCTCTGCGGTAAACAATATCACGAGGTGACTCTATCCCGTAAGTCCCCAGGAACTGTTTCTAATTATTGTCAGAGGCACATCAATTACCAACGGAGCCTCTAGGCAGCCCTCGATGCGGCTCTGATTAGAAACATGTTTTACTTCCATTTCTTCTGTCAAGCCCCTCAACCCTCCACGTATTAATTGCTCCGTCTTGGCTGTGGGCCTGCTTCCCTCAGCCTCCTCTCTGAGCCGAGCCTCTCAGGGCCAAGGCGCATCCTTGTCTGGCCTCGTCCCTGCACCTCACCCTCTTTGACGAGCAACTCGGCACCTGCCACAGGGCTCATCCTGTCCCTTCAAAAATACTGGGGCTCTGTTAACCCAGAGAGCGGATAAAAGTGCTTCAATTAAAAACATATATATTGGGTGAGATACTATGATAAGCACATTGCATACATGTCTCACTGAATCTTCCAGAAAGACCCTGTGAGGGAGGTACAATTATTATGTCCATTTTACATTTAGGAAAAGTGAGGCACAAGGAGGTTAATAATTCTCCCGGAGTCATATAACTAACAATCAGAGAACCTGCAGACACCCAAGTGGAGCCCATCTTCACTTCCAAGTCCTCTCAAGCCCCTGCGCCCAGGGGTAAGTCGGGCTTCCTCTTTACTGCCCCCACCCCCATTCTTATCACTGACCTCTGCACCCTGCGCACAACTCATTCCTTTTTTTTTTTTTTTCATTTTCAATCCTTACCCGAGGATATTTTTCGATTTATCTTCAGCTAGAGTGGGAGGAAGAGAGGGAGAGAGCGATAAAAACATCCACTTGAGAGGGACACATCAACTGGCTGCCTCCCGAATGACCTGACCAGCGCGGGGACGAACCACAGCCAAGGTACGTGCCCTTGGCCGGAATCGAACCTGCGACTCTTTGGTCTGGGGGCCGGTGCTCTAAACGTTGAGCCAAACCAGCCAGAGTTTACAACTCATTCCTTGAAGATTTAGGTTTAGATGGGCTGTTTCCAAAGCTACTTCTATTGCAATTCTTGGTTCTTTCAGCATCCAAGGAGACCTCACAGGTTGGGCTCTAGGGGCACCAGCCTCGTCAACTACAACAGGAAGGGCGGCCTGGAGGCGTAGCTGCCATACAGAGAAGTGCTCCCCTCAAAGTGCTGGCCCCCAGTTACGTACCTCCTCTCTTCGGTTCTACCCTACCTGTGCCAGACGCCCCATAGCAGCGCCCCTGCCTAGACGTCACCGGCAACTACAAGTACAGCTGTGCTGTCTCAATGTCTCCCTCTCCGACCACCACCTCCCCACTCTGAAGCTCATCTGTTCTCGTCTTTCCACTCCAACAATTCTTGGGCCCAGAAACAACTGTTTTTGGCACCTTTTTATTGTCCTCACCTCTGCCTTGCCTCCTGTCTTCCTTACCTAACTGAGATTTGTGGGTCATCATTGCGTTCCTCCCTGTGTAGGCCTGCGGTTGTCCCCGCCCACTCTCCCTTCCTGTACACAGCTGGCAAAACCCTAGCCTACTTCAAACCAGCACCCCCCTTATTACACACCTGCAGCTGAGCAGTTAAGCAAGGCTGAAGAAAACAAACATGCTGACTCGCCTTTCTTCCACATCAACACAAACCTCACACAGGTCCCCAGTGCTGCCTGGCAGTCTACCTGGCATACTACCCTATTTCCCAAGTCCACACACTTTCCCAGGACAGTCTCCTGTTCCTCTCTCTCTTCAAACCTCCAATACCTTCTCTTCCCCTTCAGGAACCCTTGCTTCCCCCTTGACTGAGAAAATTGGAGCAAGTTTCTACCATCACATCTACCCACCTTTCTGCATTTTGGTCCATATAGTTGACCTTCCCTCCTGTTGCTGTGGATGAACTGTCTGGCTTCTGTCTAAAGCCAGCCTCTCCACTTCATGAGAGAGCTCGTCCCCTCATGCCTGCCCAAGGACACTCAGTGCTTGAGCATCAATTTCCCTTCTCTGCTGAATCAGTACAAACATGATGTTATTTCTCCAATCAAAAACGCACTTCCTCTGACTCCACATCAAGATCAACTACTCATTTCTGTTCCCCTTATAAGAAAACTCCTTAAAATGGTTGTCTTTACTCACTTCAATTTTTCTCGTCTGTATTTTCTTGAACACATCCCAAGTAGACTTTTGTTCCCTCCATTCTACTGCAACAGCTCTTGTTAAAGTCACCAATGACCATCATTGCCAAATACAGTAGCAAATTCTCACTCTAACTTGAACTGCCAGTACTATTTGAATTGGGTGCTCACATCTTCCTTCTTATTGATTATAGAGAGAGGAAGTGAGAAAGAGAGAGATAGAAACATCAATGAAAGAGAACATCAATTGGCTGCCTCCTGCACGCACACACACACACACACACACACACACACACACACACACAGTGGGGATTTGGCCCACAACTTGGGCATGTGCCCTGAAGGGGAATCAAACCCGTGACCTCTTGGTGCATGGGGCAACACTCAAACACTGAGCCACACTGACTGGGCTCACACCTTCCTTCTTAAAATGCTTTCTTCCCTCCCCTTCCAGGATACCACTCTCTCACCAGGTGATCACCTCTATCATCTTTGTTTGTTCCTCCTCATCTCTCTCAACATTTAGATATTAGAACACCCTAGGGTTTAGTCTTCTCTTTTCTCTTCTCTAGCTGCCATCATTCCTTGGGTGACAGCTGCAGCCTAGACCTCTCCTTGGACATTCAGACTCATAGAGTCAACTGGCCTCCTTGCTGTTCCTGGGACACACTCCTGCCCCCCTGGCGTTGTGCCTGCTTCTCTCTCTTCTTTGATTCTTCCTCCAAAATAGTTTGTTCCTTTCTGTCTCCACTAAACTATCACCTCAGAAGTGAGTTCTTCACTGCTTGATTGATCTAACATAGAACCATGGTTACCTTCTCCTTAACTCTACCCTTACCCCGACCCCAATGTATTTTTTCCCATAGCGTCTATCTCTATCTGGAATATTATAAATGTAGTTATTTATTTATATGTGTCTCCCTTTGGTGGAACTCAAATCATATGAGAGCTTGAACTGCTCCTTCCTCAACATCTAGAATAGTGTTGGGTTCTTAGTGGGCACTCCTTTTAAATGTACTTTGAATGAATGACTATGATTTGAAACCATGCAGTCTGGCTCCAGTAGCTCTGAGTCAGAATGGTAGAAGAGGGACATCCTTGTCATGGGGGACTTTAAGAACTATTTGAGGACTTGAAGAATTGGAGTCCCTGCCTTGTAAGGGCAGAGTCAGAAAAACCAAAGTTATTTATTTTTGGCCCCTCTTTCGCACTGAGAAACCCAAGTTACAATGAGATGCAAAACACCCTATGTCCTGAGAAAATGTGCTTTGACTTGACATGAAACTGCATCCTCAGATCAGTATGGGTTTTTGTGAGTCTTGTGTTTTTTTTAACTCACCAATTTCTATTCCAACGGCCATGTTCTCACCCCACCTCATACCTCTGCCCTGTGGTAATTTCCCCATCCAAGCACACCTGTGCCCATTCATGGGTAGATCCATGCCCATGCAGACAGCGCCATCTTGCCCTGCTTAGCGAGAAATATGTCTGTCACACTATCATCACAACTGCCATCCCAGCAGAGCTGGATGGAATCAGAGCCCTCATTGGTCCATTAAAGTAAGGATGGTCTTTCTCTAAAGTAAGCCTTGCTCTCTATTTTTTAAAAAGCTAACTTCCCCCCCCCCCCCGCCCCACTCACCTAGATATTCATGCCAGGACTTGCATGAGAAAAACACTTCTTTCTGACCCCTGGAGTGACCCACTGATGCCTCGAAGCAGGAAATTTCATTGCCTCATCTCAGGCTGAGTCTCTGTTTTACCAGTCACAAAATGACTCAACCCCTTTTTAAAAAGCCAGCTGTGACCATGGACTCTGGGACCTCCTGTGGTGGTGAATTCAGTTTTTAAAATGATAATGATAAAATAGCATAGGTAATCGTTATCAAAGCCATTATGCTTTGATTATCAACCCTTTGGGGGCTGGAGAAAAGCAAGTTGGCGGGACCGAGAGGTTGGTGGTACACATTTCCCTCCTCGAGAAGCATCTTATAATGGGTCCCACACCAGCAGTGACTCCCAGGTCGGCGCTCTCCCCGCCACTCTCCATCAGCAAGAGCGCACTGCCACCCAGGCTGACGAGTCGCGCTGAAACATCCTGGGTGTCCTTCCTGCTTCCGCCGCACAGCCTGTCATCCCCTGTTGCCACATGGCTCTTGCTCATTTACTTACCACTCACACTGATCTAGAAGATCAAAGAAAAACTCCACTGACTCACCCCTGCCTAGACCAGCTCGAGGGCCGGTCAAGGCTGTGAGTGAAATATTACGAGATTCGAATCTATTCTTTCCACCTAGCTCGCTGACTCACTTGCTTGCACTCTCTCTCTTCCTTGCTCTCATTTTTCAAAAAATAAATAAATGAATTCTGGCTTGGCTGAAGATTTCAGCACTGTGACTGCTGTGCAGATGGATCCTGCCGAAGCTGGTGCTGGCCCTCTGGGGAGTAGCATGAAATGCTGGTTTTCAAAACCTGAGCAGCGTGTAAATGGCAGCTAAAAAGGAAATGCAGATCGGTGCTGAGCGTTAATTGTCTCTTCCTCTCTTCTTCACACACTTCAGAGACTCGAGGCAGCAGACAGGAAGGCAGGCCTGCCCCTCGCGGGGTGGGCTTGCTTTCTTTCAAGCTGGACTGAGAGGATAACACCTAGAGTCCAAGTCAAAACACGGAACGGGATTTTGTTTTCTTTCTTCCTTTTTTTTTTTTCCCCGAGTTCTCATCTGATGAAAGTCAGAGAGGTGGCACTGAGCTTGTAATGAAAGCAAGATTCTGCTGAGAATGTCGATGAGATGTGACACAGAAAGGGGAAGCAGGATGTCTTTGTTTTGAAATGACAGGTGATAAGCTATGGGGGGTGCCTGGTGAGATTTTAGTCCATAACTAGGTAGCAACCTGTCAAAGACAGGCCCCTTGAATGCATCACAAGAATTCTCACTTGAGATGATTTCAATTCCGGCTCTGCCTGTGTGAGTGTGTGAGTGTATGAATGCATGAATGCACACATAGCAAACATAATTGAATTCCCCCAAAACACTGCCATGTCCTATTGAGGGTACACAGTAATCACACTGGGGTGAGGGCTCGAGTTCCCTGCGTTACCTCCCTCGCTTGGACAGTGACAAGTTCTCATGACCACATCCCAGGCTCCGAGCCTTTTATTTTCATCCCTGAAGACGTGGGTTAGCTCTGTCCCGAGATGGTCATCAAGCGGAAAGTTGATTGGCTGGCTGTTCTTTTTAATGTGTTTTGTCTGAATGAAGTGGGGTTATTTGAATTTGTGCCGTTTTGAATAAGATGGAGGCAAGAGAGAAGCAACTGAGAAAATTGACTGTCAGTTGGTAAGGAGAAAAGAAGAGTCTGGAACTTTTTATAAAAATATGTTTTTATTGATTTTTAGAGAGAGGAAGGAAGAGAGAGAGAAACATTGATAGGCTGCCTCCTGCATACCCCCTACTGAGGACTAAGCCTGAAACCTGGGCACATGCCCTGACCAGTAATAGAACCCATGACCTCTGGGTGCATGGGACCACACTCAACCAACTGAGCCACACCAGCAGGGCTGGAACTTTTTTTTTAATCATAAAATGCTGGCACCCTGGACCTGTGCCTGCCTCATTTCTCCACACATTTATGAAAAGGCCACGTTCCCGCCTGCTGTTGCTGAGTGCCAACTCCATGCTAACATGCCGGTTGGAGGCAAAGATGAGCAATCACAGATGCAAACAAGTTATCGTTTGGATCCAGTCTCCTTCATGACCAGGAATGTGCAGGTGAACTGATTCCACCCCTGACTTCACCGGCATGACCAAGAAGAATGTGTAGCAACCCTTTCCAAAGAATGGTCCCCACCTGTTGCTGCCCCCGGCTCAGCTGGGTGGTGTGCTCCTCACTCCAGCCTCTCCTTGCACCTTTCCAAACCCTGGCAGAGAGTGAGCTCAGCCGAAGGTGGGAAAACACCAACTGATCTTGCTCCAAGTACAAAGTGGACTCACTCGAGCTGTGTGTGTGTGTGAAGAAAGGAAGCAGACAGACAAGGAGTGGCCCTTCAAGGAACTGGCAAGAAAGTAGTTGTGGGGTGGGGAGGGGGCTCGCCGTGGCTGGCCCCAGCCCTGACAGAGCTTCCCTAGAAATGGAGCTCGGGTACGGGAAAGTGCGCTGGGCAGCCTGGCCTCTCTCATTAGAAGCATCTCCTGAGTCTGATTCTAGTCACTTACCTGCCACCTTCTGGTTACAGTCTGATTTCCCAAATCTGTTTTTCTCCCAAAAAGGAAGTGACCCTCGCATGCAGGTCACCGAGGCAGAAAGACCACAGAGTCACCACTAATATGTGGGAGTAGTGGTGGTTGCCACTGAAGATGATGATGTTGGCTAATGGGCTTTAAAGTGTGACTTAGTCTTCCCAGCTGTGCGCATGGGGACAGTCTGTCCCTTGAGAGGACTCCCCAGAGCAGATGTCTCTGTGCTTATAACCCACTCACTGCAGAGGTGGAATAGAATGGGGCTGACATTTTGTCTCAACATGAACTTGATGCCAGTGGCACGTTGTATAAGCCAAAAAGAGCCAAAAATGTCACTCCACTCACTGCCTAGTGATTGCAGAAGAAAGCTGTCATCAGAGACACTGCCTCTTGAGTCACATACACTGGCAGACCTATCCAAGCGGTTCACCTGTAGCCTAGTTTCAAGTTGACCATGGCAACCAAAAGAGAGGGCAAGGGCTGCCAGTCCAGCCCTTCCCACGGGTGACCACAATAGAACCATCATAAACCAGTTCTCCAAATCTATGGGACAGAAATTCGAACTAAGGTTATGTGGCAGAAGGATGTGATGGGAGGGGTTTGATTGAGCAGAGACATGAT